ACAGAGTAAACAGAAAAGATATCAGTTTTTTAGACATTTCTTCGTACAGAGTAAACAGAAAAGATGACAGTTTTTTAGACATTTCTTCGGGCAGAGTAAACAGAAAAGATACAAATTTTTAGACATTTCTTCGTGCAGAGTAAACAGAAAAGATGACAGTTTTTTTAGACATTTCTTCGTGCAGAGTAAACAGAAAAGATAACAGTTTTAAGTTATTTGAAGAATGAATTTACATTTACATTTTACAATGTTTGACAGTAATATATGATACAGTTGCTTTTTTTTTTCATGAATTATGTTTCATTTTGACGTCTTGTGATAGTTGAATATGATACGGTTAGAACGTGACTAACTACCACAGGTTTAACTGTAATTTTATCATTAAAAATATTTAATCAATAAAATATCTAAATATAAGTTTTAGTGACGATTCGTGAATAAGTGCATTTTTAAGTGGAGGAATCTCTTCAGAATGAACGAAGGTACTTGTCGTGTTGTTGTTTTCATTGATGGAGGCACGTACTGCGACATTTTTTTTTTTAAATAACAAATGTTATGGCGTAACTTAACCTTAGTTTATCACTTCAATATTAGGCCCGGTATGGCCAGGTGGTTAAGGAGCTCGTCTCGCAATCTGCGGGTTGCGGGTTTGAATCCCCATCCTATCAAACATGCTCGCCCTTTCAGCCGTGGGGGCGTGATAATTGTACGGTCAATCCCACTATTCGTTGGTACAGAGTAGCCCAGGGGTTGACGGTGGGTGGTGATGACTAGCTGACTTCCACTGTCTTACACTGCTGAATTAGGGACGACTAGTGCAGATATAGCCCTCGTGAATCCTGCATCACTTTTGGTATCAGACACCTCTGTATTATAAGGAAAACTAGACCATGTTAACTTATCTCATGTTCAGTCGCACGCATATGTAGAGAGCATCACCAGGCGTCTTTAGGACGATGGTTTTCTCCTGTGGCTGACTCTGAATTTTCATATTCTGGTGAGCCAGGTTCGATACCACAAAATATTCCCCACACAATTTCAGCTGTGGTTGCATTATAAGAGTGACAGTCAATCCTTTAGCGGTGATGACAGGGTGCTGTTGACTAATTGCCTCCTC